CCTGTTCCGGGTGCACCGTTGGACCCCCCCGTCGGAGACAAGATCGGCTCCGTGGACGCCAAGATGGAGCAAGAGGGGCAGATTCAAATGACACTCTTGTTGCTGGGGTGCGGTGGCTCCACCGTATCCCAAGATCCAGAAATGCCTCTCAGAGATTTCTTCAAATGGGAGAAGGAGACTCAACAAGAAGCATCAATCCAGATGAATGCTGGTTCCTCAATGGAGCTTGTGAGTGGTCTCGCTTATTAACCCACACATATCTACCCGATTACAACTGGTCTGCTTCTTTCTAAGAGGTCTTATAAAATAGTCACCCTTTTTTACAAGCTGTCCAGGCAGCATCCTTTCTTGGGGACAGTCAGGGAGAATGTGTGCAAAAGGACCTGCTGCTTGCTGCGATGTCACCCATCTGTCCCTGTGGTATTTGAGAACCGTTATGGATGTGTGTCTAGACTCGTGGCTGCATTGCAAACTTATGACCACCTACCATTCCTTACAAAGCAGACACCAACCTTCACCACCACTCCGAGCCTGGTGTGCTTATTCAGGTAAGGACCCTGGTGGACAGTATTCACTTCTTTGTCCAATAGTTCTAGCAGATGTTACATTATCGAGTGCATTTCTGGGATGTTTAAATGACTGAACTGACATTGCATATTGTATAAACAACAGGTTTATGAGGGTGAGCGTGCCATGACAAAGGACAACAACCTCCTGGGCAAGTTTGAGCTCACAGGGATCCCTCCTGCTCCTCGTGGTGTTCCCCAGATTGAAGTGACATTTGATATTGATGCCAATGGAATCCTTAATGTCTCTGCTGTAGACAAGAGTACTGGCAAGGAGAACAAAATCACCATCACCAACGACAAGGGTACAAAAAAGGATATTGATGCTGCTTAACTCAAATACAGCTGCAGTGTTATCCCAAAAAGCGTAATTAAATGTTAATCTTGCTTGTTTAATGACAGGTCGGCTCAGTAAGGAGGACATTGAACGCATGGTTCAGGAAGCTGAGAAGTACAAGGCTGAAGACGACGTCCAACGTGACAAGGTATCTGCTAAGAATGGCCTGGAGTCATATGCTTTTAACATGAAGTCCACTGTGGAGGATGAAAAGCTTGCCGGCAAGATCAGTGACGACGACAAGCAGAAGATTCTGGACAAGTGCAACGAGGTCATCAGCTGGCTTGACAAGAACCAGGTGAGAATTGGTGATGATTATTTAAAGCGTTAAAGCATATGGACAACATGAATATCATGTTTTAACCCTGTGATTTAAGTGACTTATCAGCACATCTAATCTTGTCTGCTAATAAAATTTAGAGATAATAAATCCTTGGTCAGATATAGAGTTATACATACAAACATATATGTCTCTCTGAAAGTTGAAATGGATGAAAAATGGTTACTACATATATACATATTTGTTTTGAAGATGCAGTCACTGCCTAATGATCTTAATATATATGAAAATTGCTAGTAGGCGGATTGACGCCAGAGTTAGTAGTGATGATGTTGGATGTTTTCAACATGTGACTCGATCAATTATAGAGCCTGACCAATCCAGGATTTTTTTTAGATTGTTACCAATTTTAGAAGGGAAAATTCACTCATTACCAATATGGCGGCCGATTTTTGGAGCTGGAATGAAAATAGACCTTTTTCTATGTTGATTTGCACTGATTTGACTCTGCAGAGGTACTCAGAAAGGCTGCTTTCTTAAATACATTTTTTTTTATTATTATTATTATTCTTTATTGAAGAATATTTAAGTTAAATATTCTTTAACATGTTAAATACTTTAACATATACTTTGTAAACCAATTCTGGTTGACATTGCTGCTTCTTCTCTCTTACTCTTTGCTGCTTGCCACAGTATTGTAAATCGCAGCGCACTCTGCTGGATAAATGTTGTAGTGACACCCATTTATACTGATATGTCTGCGAAACGGCCAATATCAGTCATGTTTTAATAATTTACTAAGAGGTAAGCAGTGCAGATTGTATTGTAATTCCAAATGTCTTAAGAGTTTGTAGGTTCACACATCTGCTAAGCCATATAGCTCATCAAAGACATGGTGATTTCATGTGTTTTACAGGGCTGAATTATCCCCATCTGTGTTGCAAGAAAAACAGTTTAAACTGAAGTGAACACTGAATATGAGAATATATGATTTGATTTATTTGCACTAGACTGCAGAGAAGGATGAATATGAACACCAGCAACAGGAGCTGGAGAAGGTGTGTAACCCCATCATCACTAAGCTGTACCAGAGCGCTGGTGGGATGCCCGGTGAAATGCCAGGCGGCTTCCCTGGAGCTGGTGGCACTTCTACCAGTGGAGGATCCTCTGGACCAACCATCGAGGAAGTTGATTAATCGCAGTGTCTCATTTATATGTCCCTAAATGCTAAACAAGCATGAACATTCCCAGAGATCTAATACATAGACTCATGATGCTAGGAGATATTTTCTTTGTGAACATATGAAGATCCTTTGGCAGATTTTGAGATTCTATTCAAATTCTTTGAGATTTGAGACAACATACTCTACTGCTAAATGAATTAGAACAGAATACTGTATAAAGACAAATACAGTTAATACCATTATCAATATATCAGTATTTATTGTATCTTATAAATATAAAGGGATTAAATTGGAATGTGTCATGGTTTCAGGGTTGCCATGGACATATGTCTGTCTGCCACAAACTATCTTGTGTTAAGGTTAATTATATTGTTTTGTAAAATCGAAACATCAGAGCTATTTACATTCTCTTATTAAGTGTCTCCCTACCTTGCCATCCACCGGTCACACTGCCTTCTGTTGAGCTGAGGTCGCTGATCTTTTAAGGAATCCTACTGACAGAAAAAACTGAAACCACTAAGATTTCTGACATTTCAAGTTCATACATCACCTCATTTAGGTCTATGTTCTCTATAGCTATGAATACAACATGTTTTATTCATTATTTGAATTATTAAGACTGAGAAAAGTGTATAAATAAACATATTGTTTAAGATGTGCGAACCTCATCAGGCCCCATTTAACCCCTGATACTATAGTAATATACATAAGCAATCATGTTAAAACTGTATCTACTGATAATTTAGAAATTAGGTTTTGTTACACAGGATCGTCTTGTAGCGATAGTACTTGTTAAAGATTACTTATAATCATAATAATGTTTTCTATCATAATATTTTAAATTAAGGTAAAGATTAACTTTATAGTCAATATAAATAACAAGGTACAGAGAGTGAAACATGTTAAATGTCCCTGTACTCAGTGAATTCCAGAGGTCATTAAGTATCAAATTATGATTATGCTGAGTCTTAAATTGGAAAATAGTTTCTGCAGTAGCTGCTGAAAAGCTGTAAGTCTCACCAAAGCTATAGCATCTGAATCATCTGCTCATCTCTGGATTTCAATTTCCGAGAGGCTGAATATGGAGAAAATAACAGAGCGGAGACTTTCAAAAGCATCATCATCCTCAGAGGAGACAGTGAAAGGATGTTTCAGGACAATAAAGATGTTCACTTATTTTGTTGGAGAGTAATCCTACACACAAGATAGATGATTACCAGTTTGATTATGTGGCCAATCCAAACCAATGCAATTTAATTCAATTCTATTTAATTTAATTTGTATAGCACCAAATCACAACAGAAGTTATCTCAGGACACTTTTCAAATAGAGCAGGTCTAGACCGTACTCCTTATAAAAGTGTTTACAGAGAACCCAACAGTTCCCACCATGAGCAAGCACACAAGCGGCAAGGAAAAACTTCCTTTTAACAACTATCTATACTAATAGTAGCAATGAAATTCCTCTGCTTTGATTACTGGAGAAATGAGGCCCAGATTTGAATTCCAAGCCATGTTTGGCCCTACATTTAACACAGATTGCAGTTGGGTCAGTTCTCAGGCTGATGCACACTATTAGAAATTGTCCTTATATTAAAATAATTTACCTTCAACTGCAGAATAAATAGCCACCAATCAGATAGTCAGAACTCTCCAACACATTCCACAGGGCTCCTAACAACAGCTGTAGCTGTGAACAAAAGATGACGGTGTGAGTAAGCAACAAACAACCATCATCAACCAAAACTGTACAAATCTTGAGCAAAATATTCATCGTCATTGTTTCCATGAAGAGTAGTGATGTGTGGTTGATGACCGAGTCAGCTTCTTTTAAGTGTACAATAGGATTTTTACATGTCATAGCAGAAAACTCAGAGGTGTATTGATGATAGCTGCATTCCACTTTTGGGAGGTCCTGCTTTTGTTCGTTATGTCACTGTTACTGGAATGCTTAATGGAACTGTGCCATTGTCACTGTTATTAAGTCCACCTGTGTTTTTACGGCTTTAAAAAGTCAAAATGTCTGCTATACAACCAGTAAATGTCTTCTTTCTTTTTAAAAGAAACTGGGTTAATACAAGACAGAATAATGGGCTGATCTTAAAAGGTATTTGTTAAATATCATCCAGAATCATCTCACTTCAATAATAAAATTAAGACCCAATCATGGTGAGACTTACCAATTCAATACCAGTTAAATACCAATAAAACTTTTAATACATGTGTAATAGTTTTATATTTTATACCAAATATAATGTAAAAATATGGTATTTGGGAAATAGAATGATGACACTGAATAACTTACGTAACATGTGCACACAAAATATTTACTAGAATTGTTATAAAATTATAAAAGCCAGAAGTGGTACCAAATGAAGAGCTGATTGACAGCCAAAATAGCCACTCTTGCTGAACTGAGCCAAAAGATCTGGTTCAGTAACAGTCAGAATTCCAACCCTTTACAGCAAGGGTACAAATCTTTTACTTAAATCTCAACCTATGTATGAATGAATGAATGCAGGATGTATCATGAATTCCTGTTCACCATTCACAAAATGATCAAGTCTGAATGACTGATTTTCACACTTAACAGATAATCAGTAACTGATACTTAACCAAATTAGCAGGATTCTAGTTACATGTGTTTATTTCAGGACCATGCATTTTGTTGTTTATTGTTAACACATTTACAACATAGTGGACAAAAATTAGAGAACGATCACACATCTTTAAGCACCACTGCTTTCAACAACATAAACACAATGAAAAGAAAATGCTATGCTGTAAATGTGTCAAAAAAACAAACAAACAAACATTGGCTCTATTCTCATAAAAAAATCTGAAGCTGATGTTTGAAATCATAAAGGCTGAGACCATTCATGGTCCTGAGATCAATTTAATTAACCCAAAACCAATTTAATATCAATTCATGTTGTGTGAGTTAACATTTGTTAACAGAGGAGCTATTAAGTGTGAACTAATCACAAAGTCATAGTGACTTGATCATTTCAGTGGTGAGCAACAGGAATGAATGATACTTCCTGCATTCACTCATGCATTAGTTAAACATTAGATAGGGTACAAATCATATACCCTCTTTAGAAACGTACTGGAGTATAACATGAAATCCAAGAATTCTCACCGCTTATATAAACAGTGAACTGAAGCACTCGACATCCCAGCAGATCTGCAGCCCGTTCATGCGCTGTTTGTTCTCTCACAAAGACCAACGGAGAAGTCCCCGGATGAAAACATCAAAAAATAAAAAAATAAAAGACTGAATGTATTTGCCCAGTGCCAGAAGGCTACAGGACATTTATTGAAACAACATGACATAAAACAATACAACAATTTTGCACGTTTTGTAGCAGCATTGCGAAACTAAAAACAACCCCTCCCTTCACAATTGGTCCACATTAAAAACTGATGTTTTTTTTCCACGGCCTTCATCATCCCCAGCCTTCAGAGAGCGCCTCCATTTTCCAGAACCAACAACACAACAGTGGCGACTGAGCAGTTCATGACTAGTCCCGATGAGAAGCAAGTGCATGTTTTCACTGTAGAAACAGCAACACCGAACGCTGCGCCCCATTCCAAAGGTTGTTTATCCAAAAAACGAACACTGATATGAAAAAAGTGGCTGGCTCCGAGGTGAGCCCTTTGTCCCGGCTGAATCCGGGTATGGGTCCTTTTACTTGCTCTTGGCGGTTTTTCCGCTTCTTGGGGATGGAGAGACAGCCTAGGATGTTGGGCGCACTCCTCCATGGCGATGGGTCACACTCCCGCAGCTTGTTTGAGCTCTCGTCGTTGCGCACGGCAGCCCTGGAGGTGCGGGGGATGAATCCTGGTCTTCTTGTTTGTCCTGGCGGCGTTGCCTGCCAGCCTCCAGGATCTCAGCGGTCAGATACTCCACCGGCAGCCAGATACACCGGAGCCCGGCACCGCGCTCCCGCGTAGTTGGCCCTTGCGCAGTAGCCTGTGGACCTCGCCCACCGGGAACTGGAGCCCGGCCCGGGAGGAGCGGGTCTTCGCCTTAGCTCGGGCTTTGCCGCCGGTTTTTCCTCTACCAGACATGTTGATTAATAATTGGGTTATTGATCAGGGGAAAGCGCTGCGAGACTGCAGACAGAGGAGCTGGGACCTTTACGTAACGGAATTGTGCGTAAACGTATATAAACCACAAAGCCTGCTCCCATTGGACGATTGAACCTGAGACGCACGAGCCAATGGCGCAGCGCGTCCTCCGGTAATGACCGTCCTCTGGAGAGGGATCCTCCAATCGCAGGGAAGGAATGGCGCACGGTTATTTGCACAGACATGTTATAAATGAGGGACTAGAGAAAGGGGCGGGGTCCCAGCTGTGTCCCTGCCTGCTGCCTCACTGACGTTTACACGAAAGAGAAAATGCCTGATCCTGCAAAATCAGCCCCTGCGCCCAAGAAAGGCTCCAAAAAGGCCGTGACCAAAACCCAGAAGAAAGGAGACAAGAAGCGGCGCAAGAGCAGGAAGGAGAGCTATGCCATTTACGTGTATAAGGTGCTGAAACAGGTGCACCCAGACACGGGGATCTCCTCCAAGGCCATGGGCATCATGAACTCGTTTGTCAACGACATTTTCGAGCGCATCGCCGGGGAAGCGTCGCGCCTGGCGCACTACAACAAGAGATCCACCATCACCTCCAGGGAGATCCAGA